AGACTGGCTCGATTATCTTTCAACCATAGTTTTTGTGCAAGAGTTTGAATACTCCGTCTGGATGGATAAACTGATGGCAATGGTTGTCTTCTTATGAGGGGCCATTCCTTTCTCCCTTTGCCGAGCCTTTGACTTGAAGTTTTGATCCAGAAGTCAGTGGAGCACCATCAGGAGCTACGTTCTCGTGGTTTCCGGTGAAGAAAACAGACTCATGCCATTCGATGCTCTTTTGGGATTCTTGAGTCCAGGTACACCGTACGTTTAGAATCAGATTTTTGCAACTAGGTAATGAGGGGAAATCAATCGTCGAGGCTGTGGAGCTACATGAACTGAGATGGTTGGGATATGTGTTATGTATTCATGTTTAACCATCGCCTTCCTCGACATCGGACAATTTTAGCTGACAAAGGATGGACAAGGTTGGTCAAACCAAAAAATGGCCTCAGAAGTCAATGAAATCCATAACAGTTAGTTTAAGCTAACCACATAGGGAGGTGTAGACTTCCTGACTGACTGGTTGGGGTCCCAGGGATGGTGTAAACACCAATGAAGGCTGGAGACAACTGGTGATATGGCTGGCTTAAAATCGTTCTCAATGCCTGGCTCAGATGTATCCACTCCTTGTGACTTATGATTTAATTATGAAACTATATTGTTCTTCGTTATTACATTTATTTTTGTCTCACATCCCTATCTACTGTTTCTATTTTGCGTTTCTTTTCTCTTTGTTCTCTTGGTTTGTGAACTCCAAGGAAGGAGTGTGTGACAACTTGAACTGCTGCATATCAGTGCAAAGTTCTATGTTGAAAACAGACAGAGAGCTCTTCAATCCACTCGTGTGGTCTGTCTGTCTGTTTTCGACATAGAACTTTGCACAAATGTGCGGAAGTTCAAGTCGCCACATTCCGTGTAGCACGCGAAGCAAGAGAAGAAAGTACAAGAAAAGCATAATAGAAACAGTGAGCAGAGGTGTGAGACAAAGGAGTAATAAAGAAATACAAAACAGTTTCATTGGAGATCATAAGTCACAGGGAGTGGATGCATCTGCGCCACTGAGAACGATTTTGAGCCATGTCACCAATTGTTTCCAACCATAGATTTTTACCGTCCCGAGGACCCCAGCCTGGAAGTCTACACCTTCCTACGTGGCTTAGACCAACTGTTGTGGATTTCATTGACTGATGCCAAGTTTTTGTTTGACCGCCGCTAGCTTTTTTCCAGCCTGACCCTATATCCGCTAACATTGCTCGTCGAGGGAGGCGATGGCTTGGCATACGTAACACATGTCCTAACCATCTCAGTCTTTGTAGCTTCACGACTTCGTCGATTGATTTCCCCTGTTTACCTAGAACTCTACGCCTAACCTCCATGTTGCTCACCTTATTATGCCACTTTACACGGGAAATAGAACGCAGGCACCTATGATCAAAGACAGCTAGTCTTTTCATGTCTTCCACTCTCAGTGGCCAGGTCTCACAACCATAAAGGAGGACGGAGCGGACTGATGAGCAGTACACCCGCCCTTTGGTCGATAGTCGAACATCTCGTCTACGCCAGAGTCGGCGTAAACTAACAAATGCGAAACGAGCCCCTTGTATTCGTGCTGAGATTTCGTCAGAGATCAGCCCGTTGGGGCTGATGGTACTTCCCAAATAAGTGAAGCGGTCAACGTGCTCTACCACTTCACTTCCTATTTTTAAACTAGGCGTCGATGTAGTCCAGTCCTGTAACATCATCTTGCATTTGGCGGGAGCGAATCGCATGCCAAACATTCGTAGATTGCTGTTCAAGGTGTTTAGAAGACTCTGCATTTCGTCAGCGTCTTCGCCTAGAAGGACTATATCGTCTGCATATTCCAAGTCAACGAGATTATTCCCAGGTAGCAAGTCAATCCCTGAGTCGCTGAAGTCACCTAGGGTTAAGTCCATTAACACATCTATGATGAAGTTGAATAGAAAAGGAGATAATGGGCATCCTTGACGGACACCACTGGTCGTCATCAGTTCAGATGACAGCTCGCCGTAAGCCCTCACCTGGCTGTATGAGTACGAATAGAGTGCCTTAATCAGTGCAATATATTTTCTCGGAATTCCCTTTACAGCCAAGCATCTCCAGAGAACTTCCCGATCGACAGAGTCGAATGCTGCCTTTAGGTCAAGAAATATAATGACTGTTGGACGCCGGTAGGAATGCCTATGTTCTAGAATCTGTCGGAGGGTGAAGATATGATCAATACACCCTCTTCCTGGTCTAAAGCCTGCCTGGCTCTCTCGTGTTTGTGCTTCCCGAGCACCACTCAGTCTACGCATGATTATTGAGCCTAAGACTTTAGATACTATATTAGTCAAGCTAATCCCTCTGTGATTATCACAGGAAGACTTGTCTCCCTTCTTGTATATGGGGATAATCAGTGACTTACACCAACCCGATGGGACTTCTTCTGATTCCCAGACGCTGCCTAGTACCTCAGTTAATCCGGACAGTAAGCTGTCTCCACCGTACTTAAATACCTCTGGAGTCATTCCATCAGGTCCCGCTGCTTTGCCTAGTTTCAGATTGGTGACAGCTTTAGTAACCTCAGTTAGTGACGGAGGACCTGTATCTATATCCCATTCAGGGAGGTGTTGGATGCTCGGAAGGTTGAGCGTGGCTGTGGGCAAATTAAACTGCTCCTCATAATGCTCTTTCCAACGATCCAGTCGTCTATCCTGTGAGCTAATTATAGTGCCATTTTTTTCCGAGATTGTCTCACTAATGATTTGTCTTCTCCCACCCGTTTCCCTGATGAGTCCAAAGAGTTGCCTGGTGTTGCCTATCCTCGAAGCTTTCTCCATCTCTTTGGCTTTTGTCGCCCACCACTGTTCACGGTCCTTGCGGAGACTTTTCGTAAGTTTCCTCTTGTGCAGCTTTCGCTCCTCATTGAATTCGGAGCTCGCCGGAATAAGTCTTCTAGCATCTATCAGTTCGGATGAGGCGGTGGAGATCCAGTGGTTTTTACTCACCTTTGGGTTTACCTTATTCACAGCTTTTACAGCTGTATCTATGGCTGCCTGGATATTTTTCCAAGCTTCTTCAGGGTGAGCACAGCTGTCGAACACAGATATGTGTTTAGCTAGTTCTTCCTCAAATACGGATTTAGTTTCCTGATCGAGCTGGGGACGTGATGGTTTTACCGCCAGCTGTTTCCTACGTCCGTTCAGTCGTAAGCACACCCGAGCGCGGACCAGTGCATGGTCGGTATCTACGCACGTGTTCCAGAAGGAGCGACAATCTCCTACCGACCCACGCCAACGATAGCTTATTGCTATGTGGTCTATTTGTGTCCAGCGTTGGTTTGATGAAGGGGGTCTCCAAGTCAAACAGTGTCTCTCCTTGTGTTTGAAGTTAGTGCTTACAAGAAACAAATGATTATCAGAGCAGAACTGTAGGAGACGGTCACCGTTGTCGGTTCGCTGGCACGGAACTCCATAGGTGCCACCGACATCCTTCTCAGATTGACACAATTTCCCTACTTGAGCGTTAAAGTCACCAGCTAGAACGACTATGTCTGAGCGTTTAGCCTTTCTCACCAAACTAGACAGCTTTTGGTAGAACTCATCCTTCGTTTCATCTGAACTGCAGTCAGTGGGGGCGTAGGCGGAGATTACGAAAAGGCATCGGCGAGTAGTGCAGTCCTTCCTCCTTCTTACTGATCCGTTCAGGCGGACAGCACACATTCGGCTATCTACCGGGATCCAGTCAAGCAATGTCTTTTCTGCCCTAGTACTCAAAGCTATCCCTACGCCAGCTAATCCTCGTGAACTAGCTGTGGCATCTCCTGACACCCTCAAGGTGAATTTTGCAGATTCAACCTGTTGGCCAGGTGGGGTTAGGTGAATAACCACACTTGGGTCTTGTATGCGTGTTTCTGAAACACAGCATACATCAATGGCTCGTGATGCCAGGGTCTTGGCTAGTGATGCTTGTTGTCCTATTTGGCAAAGTGTCCTAACATTAAGAGCTCCTATATGAAATTGGTGGCGCGGCTTTAAGAGGCTGTCGGTGGTGGTTTTTTGGCTTCCATCGTTTTTAGTGGACGCAGAGTGGAGAGGAAGTGGAGAGCTATCAAGTCGAGGAGTTGCATCAGTGGAAGGAAGGCAAGATGATAGAGATGAAGATGAAGACAAAGATGAGTGAGTAATAGAGAGGTTTCGTGTGCATTTCGGATTGTGAGGGCGATTGTTACTTCCCGGCTGCCCACACCGTGGAAGTTGGTTGCGTGACCGCAGAGCCCAGGGGACAACTGCTTGAGGCCGGTCACACGCGGCCTGTTTTTGTTTGTTCTTTTTGTTTGGTGTGTCTCAGTAGCAGATTTATCACTCCCGCCCTGTGACACGGCAGCAGGAAGCGCGGTCGTTGTTAATCCGGGCCACGGCCGATCCGGCATGAAATTTTGTAATTTTGTATTGGACATGATGTTGGATTGGGTAGCTGCTTTTTGTTTAACCGCTATCCAAACAACCTGCCTGGCATGGTAGAACCTCAAGAGACATAAGTCTCAGCCAGTATAGCTTGATTAGGTCATTGCGGTGTTCAAGCCCGACCACCACGTCAAGGTAGCAGCTTTCGGTCGGTTGTAAGTTCCGGTCGTTCGCATTCGCCTCTTTCAGGCTTTTGTGAAGAACACCCTCTCTGTGTGAAGAGAGTTTGAATAGGACTTACCTGGCAGAGGTTGGCTATGAGAACGCATGGCCACTTGAGAGGATTTTGAGAAGAAGACGGAACCCTAACTCCTCTCCCCGCTCCATCTACGGTACCGAGTCGTCTGTGAAGATACGTCTTTCTGACTGGCAAAAGTACTGACAAACGTGTTCAAAAGTAGGCCTTCCCGTCGATCGTCCCCAACCATCTGACACCAACAATCTTTTCCAATCCTTTTTGTGTCATTATTTTGTCGGCAAATATCCTTTGATCCCTTTTTTTATATTGTTGAACATTTTTTGTACCCATCATTTATATAGATAAGTGATACAGACAAGTGTTGTCGAAGTGTTGAACTTACCACAACTGGGCAATTCTGTCCAATGTATGGAGTATGTCAGGGGGGACCTGGTGGACCAACATGTTGTGGTGGAGCTGGAGGTGGATGTCCGTTAACTAACAAGACGTCAATGAATACAACAATATCTCAACAAGAAGAGAATCAAACAGTGAGTCAAGAGGGTGTTACTGAATCGTCGTCATTGCCAGTGTCACAGCCTATGCTAGTGTCGTCAACCACAGCGATGGCTGCTCTTGCTACCGCTACCGCTACTAATACACTTTTAATTATTGCAGAATTACAACGTATTGCCAATACAGATATGAAACAATGGATTCGAAATTCATCGCCATCATCATCACCGTCATCATCGTCGTCGCCAGATACAGATTGTGATACATGCATGGATTGTTCTCGTCATGATGAGCCACAGCAACAAAAGTGAGTAACATGTGTTATGTTGTATATTATGTGTGTGTGTGTGTGCATGGAGGATTTCATCATGAGCTGTGAAATCAGTTAGAGAACCATTGGAAAACCTTCTGGGAGTACTGGACATCTGTTTCGTCCTAGTTTGGGACTCTTCATCAGTACCCACTCATCGGGGTTTGAACCCCCCAGGACCTTCTGGTTACAAAGCGAGCTCGTCCTGGGTTCAAACCCCACCCGGTGGGTGCGTACTGTTGAAGAGTCCCAAACTAGGACGACATGTGAACAACTGTCCAGTACTCCCTGGCAGGTTTTCCACCAGTGGTTCTCTCTCTAAATGATGTATCACCTGATCATGATGAAATCCTCTAAGCAATCAAAAAAAATCCTTACAAAAATCAATACTTGAAAATTATTGCATGTTCCCTTGGATTTCAAGTGGAATGTAGCGGCGGGCTTCAATGGCACAGTTTCGTTTCTATATTGGTTATTATTTAATTATTATTTATTTAAACGCATCAAAACTTGGTACATTATGGCACCAAGAAGGACGCGCCACACAATAATAATAAAACAACATAGATCAAAATAAAAAAGAAAGAAGATAAAAAAATATATATAAGTAGAGAACGGATAAAGTACTTCATCTGGAAGGAAAACAGTCATGCCTAACAAGTTCGAAGAGTATTCGTTAACTATCATCGGAAAGGGAAGAAAGAAGGAAATCGCAACACGTGTAATAGCACGCGATAAGTTTCATTAATTGTTTGTTGCTTCATTCAATTCATTGTGTGAGGGCTGAGATACTGGCCGCGTACCCAGACCTAAGCAGGTGGTTATATTAAGGGACCACCCACTGGGCCTTTGACTTGGAGTCTAATCCGCAAGGCAGCGGAGCAGCGTCAGTCAGGAGCTGCATTCCAATGGTTCCCGGTGACCCATATGGGTGTGGTGAGAGCAGGCTGCTAGCCGATTGGTTGACACTAAGCTACGTTAATATGGGCCGTGAGAAAATATGAACAAGGCTGAGTCAACAACCAATCACAGCAAAGTTAACGTGGCAAAATATGATTCGCAGATAGAGAACTCTATTTGTCAAGGAATCCCGAAACAACCAATCAGAAGCCTGCGTTTGTCTGCCTAACATCTGATAAACAACCAATCAGATGACTGCGCTTGTCTATAATAATGTATGTGAAATATGTATAAATACGTGTTGATTTTCATAATAAAACGATCTGTTGCCTGGCCCTTGTCTTCTGTTGTTACATTTGGTGTCGCTGCCTACCGACAAATGGAAAGCCTATGCCCTGCTGTTTTTGATGGAGACATATGGATCTTCGGGCAGGACTTCAAGGCTTCTGCGCAGTTGAGTGGCGTTCAAGATCTGTCAGCGATGGAGCTGCTACTTGGGACGCTGCTGGGAGGTCGGGTGAAAGCAGCATATGAAAGTGTGAGCCGAAGTATGGACGAATGTTCGACAGGGTCAGGCAAACAGTTTCCAAAGTGGGAAGAACCATATGTGGTCACTTCGAGATGGGGTTACGCAGACACAGTCGCAATGGCGAACAATAAGAGGCGCGTGAACATCAGCGAGCTCCAGAAATGGATACAGCGAGATAAGCCAACGATGACGCCTGCACCAATTAGATCAAGCCGACTTCAGTCGCACGTATTTGACGGGGGGACGAGTGTGGTGAGAGCAGGCTGCTAGCCGATTGGTTGACACTTAGCTACGTTAATATGGGCCGTGAGAAAATATGAACAAGGCTGAGTCAACAACCAATCACAGCAAAGTTAACGTGGCAAAATATGATTCGCAGATAGAGAACTCTATTTGTCAAGGAATCCCGAAACAACCAATCAGAAGCCTGCGTTTGTCTGCCTAACATCTGATAAACAACCAATCAGATGACTGCGCTTGTCTATAATAATGTATGTGAAATATGTATAAATACGTGTTGATTTTCATAATAAAACGATCTGTTGCCTGGCCCTTGTCTTCTGTTGTTACATGGGTTCATCATACGCGATTTGATCCGATTGGATTCTGGAGCCCATGTACTCCATGGTAACTGCTTTTAGTTTAACCGCTATCATCCAAACAACCTTCCTGACATGGTAGAACCTGCAGGGACAGAGTCCAGTCCCAGTCAGTTAAGCATGTTGGGTCATTACGATGGTCATTCAAGCCCGGCCACCACAACAAGGTAGCAGTTATCGGCCGGGATTTCCATATTAGAAAAAAAATCCCCACTTAAACATTTAGAAAACAGAAAGATTGAGCGAGCGAAGAAATATATTTACTTTTCAATTAGATCCTCATCTCACTCTGGCTCTACTCTAATATATTATGTATTGCATTTTACCAATCATCAAGTGGCACTGATATGTTTGTTAACAATAATTAGTCAGTGTCAAAATGTCAATGCGATGGGTGATAATTACCGAAGAAAATTAAAATACACAATTAAAAGGTAGAAGTGGTTAGAATAAATTAATTTTACAAGGATAACACGCAATTAAAATAAATAAAATAATTTGGACAATTATAATTTTTATAATTTCTAAATGTTTAGGGGGAGAGGGGGGCGAAATAGTCCAGTTTATACATTCATTCATATATAACGATAGCCAAGGTAAAGAAAGTGGGTGTACAAATTTCTTCTGAACACACACAAGATGGTCGGGGGTGGGTGTCTTGCACTGCGGGTTGGCCACCCCTCCGTACACCTCTTGAAATGCTCCCATGTGACCGGGCGTCTTACATAGCCTCTCCTGAGGAAGTCCTACTCACTACCTTCACGTGGAGGAGATGTTTTTTTCACCGAAGTGAGAGGGCAAAAGCGGATACCTGGCGCTCTTCACCGGGTTGACTGTCCATCGGATGACAGTCTAGGAGAGATGACTAAACCCTGATTCCAAACCTCCAACGACTGGCGTATAAAGCTCACCGGCAGACGTATGGACAAAGGGCTTATTGGATGCCGTGGATGTCTGGCCCCATTCAAAAAGGCGAATGAACCGGACTCCGGTCACCGGCTGCCAAAGGATAGTGGACACCCTATTCCACTCCTACTGCCTTGTAGGTCACACTTGGTTGTGTAAAGGCTAGAGCAGCACTCTCAAACAAAAGGCCGAGCGATGCTGGGGACATCACTCGTACCCAATTCCCATGAAACTTCATGGTTCATGAAGCCGGCTCATCCTCCCGTAGGAGATAGCCGAAGTAAAGTAAAAGTTAAAGTACACAGGTTTGGCTGGCTTCTTCAGGTGGATTCCTATTGCTTCAGTTGTAGTATGTAGAAGACGAACTCGTAGAGCGAAATTAAGATTAGTAAGGAATGCGATAAATATAATTTTAAATGTGCTGTATTAACTAACATCAACCTTATGCTCACTACATCTACAAGGTGTGCTAAAATAGAGCTATGAATAGATCTTGTTTTTGTCCCTTGCTTAACCATGCCACTGGCTGATGTTTGGAAATGCGATGATGAACACCTGCCTAATTGTACGCCCAATGTAGCTGGCTCCGCAGCTGCAGTTGAACTGGTAGATACACATAGAGAAGGAGGTAAATGTAGGTAGTTTATCCTTATTTCTCGTATACGGATCAGAAACTTGGCGGGCGGGTCACAAAGAATATTTCCAACAGACTATTGCAGACGTTTATCAACAACTTACTGTCTTCACCCCATACTGAAGATCATATGGCCGGGTCGGAAAGAATCACCAACAAGAAACTCTGACTGGGGAACTAACAAAACAAGAACCAATCGCCAACCAATAAATATGCAGGAGAAAGTGGAGATGGATTGGACACTCGCGGCTGAGGAGGCCGGTGGGTGACATCGCGTGCGCGTCAGGCCATTGCTCGAGTGGAACCAGGCCAAAAGGGAATCGGCGAGTGGGACGTCAGTGCAAGGGTGACAGGGAGCAGTTCGTGTGAAGAGGAGTTGGAACAGTATGGATTAACATAGATGCAGGTGAAAAGTACAGGACAGCAGAAGGAAGACAGAAGTGGCAAGTGGAGACGTGTAGTTGTGAAGGCCTATGTTCCACTAGGAACCCAAGGAAACAATAATAATAATAATAATATAATCCTTATTTCTCGAACGTAGAATAGGTGGCGGTGGTTGTGAAGAGACAACGTACTTCTGGTGCATAATAAGCTCTTTTAACTGTATTCTTCAGGCGCTGTGTTATTATTTTGCTGATGTTATTACCGAGAAACTGCAATTTTATGAGCATTAGTTTCCTTTCGGGGCTGTGGCCATACTGACTCTCCTTGGAGCTGAATTCGTATTTTTCTCAATGAATTTATCTGGATAGCCATTTTTTCTAAGTGATCCTCTAATAATCTTAAGCTCCTCATTGAGACAGTCGTCTGAACAGATTAATCTGCCTCTATGAAACAGTCACTTTACCAGGTTACGCGTTTATATTTCAAAGGTACAAAACTCAAAAAAGAATGAGTGTACTGACCTGTTGTAGTGGGTTTCCTATAGACACTCCTTCTTAGTGTGCCATCTTCTTTCCTTGCCATGAAGACTAATTATTGTTAACAAACATATCTGATAGAGAAGATTTGTAGCTCAAGTGGATGATTTTGATGTGGTTTTGTTCTCTGAGCTGGATGGTTAATTTGCGAAGCTTTCATCACCCTACTGGGTGACATCTTCAGCGCATACTTCAATTTGAAGTGAGCTTTTAGATTTCTCCACGAGTTTATTGATCATCTCTCCTGGTGACCTTGGACATGATTGGTTGTACAGCCAACCAAAGATGGCTTCAGCAATACATATGAGTCAGGTACGTAGTGATTTGGGTAAATTACTTTTTTACCTTGTAGTTAACTTTAAAGGCACAGGGTATGCAGTGGTAGGGTGGTCCTTATCGACCAGATGTTCAATGATCGTGGTTCTTATTGTTACACTTTCACGTCTTCTTCGTAACCATGCAGAGGGATTGGGTTCTCGCACCCTATTGGACAAAACTCGAGTCGAACGACCGATATACCTAGCTCCACACAAGCAAGTGAATTCATGCGCACACACATAGAGTTGGTCAACAGCAGGATCTTGTCTTTCAGGTTATTGAACAATAGTAATGGTCGACTAGTAAAGTCTATTCTCAGAGATTCAGCAGGGAATGTTCTTTTCAGGGGCTTTGATATCCTTCTTTTCATGATATCGAAAGCTAAGTCCCCTTTGAATTGCAAGCTCATTTATTTTCTTGGGTACGGTTGAGAAGTCACGTTTTTTAGGATTTAAATGTTCAGTCTGCCTCAAAGATAGGACTACACACATTACACTGGGTACTGACTAGTGTCCAATGTGAAATATGCTTGGGTCTAATGAACATTGTACTCATAATTCATCAGCTCAACCCTCAACACCCCTCCATCTCTGCTTTACCACACCCTGATACCAACATGGCCTTATTATTGAAATGATTTTTTGATTTTCCCGTCGATTGATTGGACCGAAGTGTTCGGTCTCAGGTTGACATACCGGCTTCTTGTGCAGATGCTTCGACGATGTCTGGGCATTTAATTAGCATACGATTGGTGGCTCTCGTGGCCCAAGTGGTCTAGTGGATAACGCTTTGACGTTTGAAACTATGGGCACTGGGTTCGAGCCTCAGTGGGAACATGATCACTCACTGAGAAATGCAGGTACATCCGGTGGCTGACGAGTCCCAAACAGGACGAAATGCGCATTCTGGATTCCACTGCTAGCCACCATCCACCAGTTGTATACTAATGGTGTCTTATTGTTCCCCTAATTATTTTAACAAATTGACTATCATGATTATACTATCCATTAGTATTGTTATAATATTCATTTCTCGTCTTTTCACAGTTCGTTGGCACCAATGCCTCAATCGATCAAATGTGATAATGATGATATGCAAATTGACAGTGATGTGATTGATGACAAGTTGGATGATAATGTGGCGGCATCAGATCGTTATGGGCCTCTTCCGTCTACTACTGAATCAAATAAAGAATCTTTCTCACCATTGAAATCATCTATGCCTTCAAGTGTGTCGACATCCTCTGCAACTGGTGCTTATTATGAAAAATGGTTGATTCCTGGTGTTTGAGCATGTCTGTCTATCTATGTAACCACCTGTCAGTATTATGTAATATTATCGATCATATACATGATAATAGGACAAACGTCGTCGTCATCATCGTCATCATCATCACTTTATTTCCACTTAGCAACTAGTCACATCCATCCGTTTGCTTGATTTTTGACTTGTTCAGAAAACTGATTCTTTCATTTTTCTTGTTTAAAACTTTTTAATTTCTCATCCAGTTTGTTCTTACAATCACCCACCCACCCACGCACGCACTCACCCACACACACACACACACACACACACATGCATACATACCGCCAAAAATGCACAAACCATCGTCTAGTATTAACTTCTAGTGTTTATCCTGTGGAATTTATGATGTTATGTGCCGTTATTTTCATATTTGTGTTCCTGTTTTGGGGATGAGGAGACTTCACGTCTGCAGACGAAACCAACTTGTTCTTGTTTCACACCCTCCTTAGTTAGCGCCCACCCTTTTAGCATCCCGAGAATAATGAGTGTTACTCTTCTGTGCGGTTCCACATCCCTCCCCTTCCTCCTCTACTTCTTCTTCCAGAGTATTCTGAGTTGATGTTACAGTGTTGCCTTTTTTTTCTCCTTCATTCGCTTGTTCCTCGTTTGATAAGAGAAAAAATACAAATGAAAATAAATTTTTTAAGAGAAACTTTACATTTTTTTCTTATTGGTTGTATAATTAAGTTTTATCTTTTTTATTTCGGTGGTATGGTTGTTGAGAGATAAGTTTTGCAAGCCATCATCTGATTAGCTCATTATTATTATTATTATTATTATTATCATTAGTGTTATTGTTCCTTTATAATGTCTTGTATTGCCAGGTATTTTGTGTGTGTGCGTGTATGTGTGATTGGTTGTTGAGAAATGTGTTGTATTTACAAGAGTTAATTTGAATTTGATCATGGATTGATATTAGTTTGAAGAATCATTGAAAAAAACAAGTACTAGACTGCTAGCGAGCAGTAGTCACCCACCCACTTACCGGTTTTTGAACCTGAAATCTGATCACGAGGAGTGGATCCATCTGCGTTAGGCATTGAGAACGATTTTGAGCTAGCCATATCACCGATTGTCTCCAGCCTTCATTTGTTTTTACCATCTCGAGGACCCCAATCAGTCGGTCAGGAAGTCTACACATTCCTACATGACTGGCTGGCTGGCTTAAAGTAACTATTGCGGATTTCACTGACTGATGAAGCCATGTTTTGATTTGACCACCACTAGCCTTCTCTTTTTTTTCGCAACCTGACCCTATGTCAGCTAACATTGTCCGATATCAAGGAAGGTGATGACTAGGCATGCATGCATAACACATGCCCTAACCATCTTAGTCGATGTAACTTCACAGTCTCGTCGATTGATTTTTTCCTCTTTACTTAGCACTCAACCGAAGCCTAACCACAGTATTGCTTACTCTACTATACCACTTACCACGGGAGACAGAACTCAGGCACCTGCGATCAAAGACAGCTAGCCGGCCTTTTCATGCCTCCCACTCTCAGTGGCCAGGCTCACGGCCAGACATAAAGGAGGACCGAGCGGACTGGTAAGCAGTACATCCGCCCTTTGGTCGACAGCCAGCTAGCCGGATATCACGTCTGCTAGGTCAGAGACAGCGTAAAGCAGCATATGCGAAACGAGTCTTCTATATCCGTGGTGAGATTCTGTCAGCGATCAACCCGTTGGCCCCGGTTGCTGCAACTTCCCAAGAGTTAGTTAGTGTAGACTGATAGAATTCAGTGTGCTGTAAACATCAAGTACTGGACACATTCCACCAGTCCAATCAAAGGGAGACTCTTCGCTAAACTCCTCTTCTTTTATATGAATGATAAATGTGAATACATCCACGCAGATAGCTATTGATCCTGTTAAGAAGAAAAAATCACAGTTCACTATCGAATTGGTAACAAACCATCTTCGACACATCATTGAAAGCTAATGATGACACTGGATAACTATTTTGTCTTTGATCAGGACTCCCCAGCAGTACACACCAGCCCACCTAGGTTAAGTTATGAGTCTAGGACGTTTACCATCCACGCCACTTGATCCGAACTCTATATTCTATGAATGCCAAATTCTGTCATTTTGAGATATAGCACAGCCTCCACCTTACACACCATTCGTGAACTGACTGACTAACTGAATTCCGATGTAGACATTTGCACAGAAACGCTGCGACCACACCCTGTGTAGCACACAAAAATAGAGGAAAGCAAGAATAATACGATTCAAAGGAAGGATAATAAACAGGAATGTGGCGAGGGGGGTGTTAGAAAGAATAGTAACATATGGAAAAACATGGTGGTTTGGTGGATATGGGTGATCGTTAAGACTGAATGACATTCACGCCACTATGAACGATTGATTTTGAGCCCTATCACTGATATTCCTCCACCCATTGATTTTTAGTGTCGTCCTGAGGACTCAAATGGAGCAATCTACGTCTCCCCCTACATGGTTGGCTTATATCAAGAGTCAAAGACTTCACAGATTAATGGCAGATTTTGACTTGACCATCCATACCTAACTATTTTTCAGCTTTATTCTATATCACCTAACGTTGGTCGATGAGGAAAGCGATGACTTGTCTTGCGCAACACACATGTCCTAGTCATCTAAATCGATGTAGCTTTGCAAGCTCACTGATTGATTTACCGCCCTTACTTAGAACTCTACGCTTAGCCTCAATGTTCCTCACTATATTATACCACTTTTACATGGGAAATAGAGCGTAAGCGTTTGAGCCTACTAACTGGTGACTATTCACATGTATATGTGTAGATGTTATTCTCTAACTTGAGAAAAATGATTTCTTATATTAGGATTGTACAATTCCAATCCTGAACTGTAGATCTTAATTACCTTTACGTTTACTATGTAGTTAGTTCAGAATGTCTGTTTACTGCACTGTGCTACACTAATTCAAGTAGGGTTTGTTTTGAACCAAATCTACTACACATGATAGCAAAATTCAGTACATAAAGTTTCTGATAGTTAATCGAATCGTCTTGATTCAAGCGTTGGTTTGAGGGGATTTAACTGGCTACAGGATTTCCTGATGAGCTGAAATCAGTTAGAGAACTAATCAGAATACTGAACAACTGTTTCGTTCCAGTTTGGGACTCCTCAGCAGTACCCCCCACCAACGCGGGGCTCGAGTCCAGGACCTTCTGGTTACGAGGCAAGCTCGTAGATCATTCAGTCACTGAAATCCGACCCATCAGTTCCTGAATATTCTGAGCCATAGTCGCGCTATATCGTGAATTGACAGAATTTGGAGTTTATCTGGCATTGGATAGAATCTCAGTGGCTGAATGATCTACGAGCTCACCTTGTAACCTTAAGGTCCTGGGTTCGAACCGTCATCCCATGTGCGTCAGTGGCACAGTGGTTAGGACTCTCCCCGACCATGCACATGGTTCGAGGTTCGATCCCCTGCCGACGCACACCTGATATCTGTGGTCGACCTGCAAAATTTGGGCTACCGATATCATATGCTGAAAATTCCATACTTGTACCAAAAATATGGTGTGGAATCAAGCTGTAATAAAAAATACTACGGTGAAACATCCGTGGGTGTATAAGACTGCAGATAAACAATGACAATGTAAGTTGTCTAATAATGTTCGGAGCAAAATGCAGTACTGATTTGTGAAGCTGTTGATCAACGGTCTAAATTATACTGGGATTTGTACATGGTCTGCGTAAGTTCTTTATACTGTTATGCTAATGAATCAATCGATCGATGGCTAGTGATCCTTGGTTACGTAATCTAAGATTATCTATCTACAGGATTCTCTTCTGTCTATCTTGGTTAGTTCCTGTTTTGGCTGTCTTAAGCGATTTAGAATCAGACATCACCGACGGACACATCGGTATGATTGAATGATTAAAAACCACGGGGAACACTTACGTCATCCCTGGCGTAGTAGTCATGGTATCTGGCTGTCAGTCAAGTGACACATGCGTGCTGGACAACAATTCACTCTGTGTTCCTCCATGACTGTATGACACGGCCATTGAAATTGGAAGATATGAAAAGGGTTATCTGTTGTCTTTGGCCGCGGACGTTCACGTCGTACCTCTTATATCAATTGGTGCAATTTGCTGAGTAATATCGATGTTTGGTAAGAAGGGACAGCTAGCTGATGAGCTGGTTGGGTTTTATTAAGTGAGATGCTTAGGTTACGCGTTACTCATGATATAGAATACGGTTGGAAAAGAGTTGAGGGTGATCAGACCGGAAGTCTGCACAAAGAACAAAATTTGGATTTTCATCTATATGGGTGAGAAACTTGCCGCCAGAGTCATGAAAAGCATTTCCGACAGTGTACAGACTTTTATCAGCAGCTGCCGCCTTCGCTAGCTCCATATTGAAGATCAAATTGCCCACCATAAAGAATTCATAACAAGAAACTATGGGAACGAATCAACCAAGAACCGTCTACCCAAAAAATATCTTGACGAAGATAGAGATGAATTGGGCATATGCTGAAGAGACTGTCGAATGACATTGGGCGTCAGGCCATCGCTCGACTGAAACCCGAGTGGGAAACGACGAGTTAGGCATGGGCCTGAGGTTGATATTGGGGGAGAGGGATCACGTGAGGAGGAGACGAAAGATTATGGGCGATCGTGGGCCCAGCTGAAGAGGAGTATAGAGAATAGGACGAAGTGGAGACGTGCTGTTGAAGGCCCAAGGGAAAGTAATAATATAATAAACCGGAAATCTAGCGTGGATCCTTTGACAGTTGGTTTAAGCTAGCCACCTTAGGAGATGTTGGCTGGTTGGTTAATCGTCGTCCGCGAGATCCTAAGAATCCATCATATATTAGGGACTGCTTGTGATATAGCTCAAAGTGCTTCTCGGTGATTCAGATACATTCAGTCTTTGCTTTCTCTCTATATTCTTTCCCGCCTACATTTCCGCTTATTACAGTTTCTTTTCACCACTATTTTCAGTACCTTTTTTTGTATGCCTCGATGAAGTATGACAAATTGAATTTCTGCACAACTTTTGTACAAAATGGGTCTCTATGTTGATAATTCAATTTAGTGTCTCTATAATCCCCTCTCACATGGGGATCAAATCCAACAACATTCATTTATAAGCAATAATTGGTTAGAGGAGGTGTTTGAAAAGGGGCAATGGGCACTGTAAAGCTGTTTGGTTCTGCTTTCTGGGACTGTTCATCAGTGAGCACCTACGACTGCACTACTAAGGGGTCTAACCACTTAAGACCTGCAAATTATGAGACCAAGCTCGTTGACAATTCAGTCACTTGGGGGGGGGGTGAGAGGGGGTGTTGGCAGAATTCAGTGACCTGTGAATCCTAACTCCTGTCATTTCGTGATAGATGCAGCGCTACCCTCAACCGATGCGTCTTCGATGAGGATCCGTATCATGTTGAGATGGTAACCTACTCCATTGATTATGAGTTTTTAATACACAGCTTCATAACATCTCTCTGGTTAACCATCGGTTAGCCGGTCTGGTGATTGGTTATGGGAATTAGGATTAATTTTATTTAAATTGTTAAATTTGATCCAAAAACCAACAGGGTCTGTTAGACTGATCATTGAAAGCTACTGATGAAGAGTCCTAAAAATATATGGGACGAAACAGCCAGCTGTCATCCAGTTCTCCCTGATGGTTTTCAATGATCTTTCTAACTTATCCTGTTGGTTCGTGACGAAATCGAACAGTTGAAATAATTTGATTTTAGATAAGGCAATAAAATGTAATTTTTCTGGATAGTGTGGTGTATTTGCGC